TTTCTTCGCGCTCAGAAGCCCATTCAAATGCAGAACCATTGTTGCTCTTGCAAATTTCGCCTGTACTAAATATTTTACTCCAAATAATTCGTGTAAATTCCACCCACCTACGGCCTTCGCCTGTTGTGCAACCTCAGCGTCAGTTTGACCATGGAACTCAAGCGCAAGCGTTGGTTGTTCCTGTAGCTGTAGATGGCTGTACTTATTACAGGCGGCTACTTGTACATGGTCGAGGAATTCTGCATAGCAAACCGATCAGAAAGCGTGAAATCTTGCATTTCCTCGTACAGCATAAACACCTATTCTCGCAATTGGAACTGCCATTTGCATTGTTTCCACGACTGAATTCACAGCTTCGGCGACAGTTGGAAAGTGGCAAATTGCAACTGATTGAGCTTGTGGCCGAGGATGCACCCTTGAAATTGACAACTTCTGCTTAGCAAACTGACTAAATCGTACAGACATTGCCTTTTAAATCTAAAGCAAGACAGACTTGAGGACTGCTTGTGTTATGATACCAAGTGTGCCCTCTGTTCCAACGAAGAGCTCAGTCAGATTGTACCCAGCCGATGACTTTCTAAATTCAGTATTATGATAACAAAAATGTAAGCTTGATATCGCTCATTTACCGGGGTCGTCCATGTTTTCCTCTAGTATGCACAACTGAGCCGTCGGCAAGTACTACTTCAAGATTTCGCACATTCTCCTTCATGGTACCTCAAAATATTATTTGAACGGATGACAGCGGTAATTGTGCACCTTATTGCATACCATATCGCACTGCGTTTGTACCACTAGCCGAAGTGGCCACCATTCCGCATAAGGAGGCATCTGCGCCAGGATCTAGGTTTTATAAAAACATTCTTTCTTTCAAAAAGGCTCTTTAGGTTGATGGGGAAAGGGATTAATTTCATGCATGGTAAGTGTGGAAAGGAAGCCTAGCTGACACAAAGGCATACATACTTATAGACTGAGATCTTTAAGAAACTGGGACCTGTCAATACACTACAAGCTGCTTGATTGAGAACCACTACTGCACCTTTCTAAACCCCACGATGGTAAGTCAAGCTCCTAAAAACCATTGTAAAAATGAAGTTCAGTAAATGTTTCTCAGAAGAAAGTGAGAAAAGGCTCAACTCTCTTTAGTCAGTTTATGTGACTCACTATACTTCTCTTAGCTAATGATGAATCCGGACGAAGGAAAGGGGAAGAACTAATTACAAATATGTCAAAATGTGAAAGCGAAGTCGTAACCTACGACTTAACGTAACCGGATAAAAGGCCTGTTTATCTGAGACGTATAATGCCACTTATTTATGATGGATAGCAGCGCACCTACTGGGAAAAAAAGTCCTGTGTCCCTAATGTGAGCGTTTAGTTGCTTCCTTGTCACTGAAGGTCGTACAGAGACGTCAAAGTCTGCCTCGTTAACTTCGCAGATACCACCTTCAATAGCAGTTGTGGATAGGCAAACTCCATCCTAAACTTACTTGTTTTTACTTTAAGACATTTTTGCGAAATTTGTCCAAGAATCTAATGCATTCAAGAAAGTGGAAACGCTTCCAAGATATTTGATCTTCCAAATGGAAGCAAAATTTGTGGATTAAGAGTTTTTCACTGGTTTCCAGCTCCAATTTCCTAGTTGATAATTCATAACTGAAAATTGGTCTGTGCAAAAAAACTCGAACAATAGGGAATTCAGGTTTGACCCGCCTACTACCTTTGCGAAATTATTAATGGCATCGTGTCTATTAAGAAATTGCTATACAAATATGTTTAAGTTATCCATAAACCGTTGAACTTCAGTTATTTATCATATGGCAATAACCTACCTGTAAAGACACGCAACCTCCTTCTAGTCCCGTCCCAGTTCCGTAAGCAACGACGGGGATAGACTCTTCATTACATACGCAAAGTATAGCAGAAACTTGTTCGACTGACTTTGGTTTTAGCACAACTGTGGGAGGACGAGGCCTACAACGAGTAGCTGAATTTGACATAATCTGTCGCACATGCTCGTATGCGGCTATTGCAAGGCTAAGTTGGGTGCGGATCATAAAAGAATGAATCCGTACTGAAGATGCCCTTCGTCTCTTGAAAACTGCCTCCTGACAGATTCCTTTGTGGAAACAGCCTCCTTCCCAAGGATAGCTTCAAATTTAGAGATATTTGACTCCACAGTAGACAGTTGTCGTAGAGATGTGGCGATGCGCTGAACCTGAGTATTACTTTAGCATAATCCCTTTTCAAGGAACGATTTCAGATAAAGAAAACTGCTACGACTAGGTTTGTTTTTCAAAAGTATATTTCTCTCAGCATACGAATATATGTAAACATACTTTAAAATGCCGAATCATGGCTTTGAAAGACATTATCCAAAGTAATCTATAAAACCCCACAATGAGATACGCGAAATGTGGTCAACGGCTGCCGCAGGTTTTCACACGCGAGATTTTTTTGAAGTAATTTAGAAGGAGTTCACCAAACACAACAATCTCCCTAACTAACGATCCATCGTAAG